AGTATTTTGAGTTTAATTACTTATTGGCTTGTAACAATTTTCATAATTCCAAGGCCCAAACAAAAATTTAATGCATTATTATTTTTAAACTTACTATATAAATATATTTTTCAAATGTAAAATTTATTCGGTACGGTTCGGTATTTTTTCGGTTTATTTTTATAAAATAAAAACCTATCCTAATTATCAGTGCGGTTATAGATTTATATAAAAACCTACGTGTTCTTTAAAAGAAACTTAAATTCGGTTCGGTGCGGTACAGTTCGGTCGGTTTAGTCGGTTTCCGAATATCTATTGACACCCCTAGCGTGACTTGTGTTTCCCAATCTTCAACCTCTGAGTCTTGGGTCATTGATTCAGGTGCATCTGATCATATTTTTGGTAACAAATCTCTTTTCACAACTATTTCATGTTCTCAATCACTTCCAACAATCACAATGGCTAACGGGTCTCAAACCATGGCAATTGGAATAGGTCAAGCAAGTCCACTTCTTTCCTTACCTTTAGATTCAATTTTTTATGTTCCCGGTAGTCCTTTTAATCTCATAGCGTTAGTCGCTTAGCCAAATCACTTAAATGCTTTGTTTTATTTCTTGATGACTTTGTTTTTATATAGGAACACAGTACAAGGTGGATCATTGGTACCGGTCGTGAATCAGATGGACTCTATTACCTTATCCTTGCAAAATCACATGGACTCACATCTTGTCTTCCTTCAACAACTTGTCCTGTTACTGATTCACCACATTTATTACATAAACGGTTGGGACATCCTAGTTTGTCAAAATTTCAAAAAATGGTAACTGGTTTATCTCACTTGTTCACTCTAGAGTGTGAGTCATGTCAGCTCGGTAAGCATACCCGCTCCCATTTCCCTCGACGTCTTGATAATCGAGCAGAGTCACCTTTTACTTCAGTCCATTCAGATGTTTGGGGTCCTAGTCGGGTTAGTTCTACCTTGGGATTCCGCTACTTTGTCAGTTTCATTAATGATTATTCCAGGTGCACTTGAATATTTTTGATTTTTGATGAAAAATCGATCTGAGTTGTTTTCTATTTTTCAGACCTTCCACGCTAAAATTCAAAATCAATTTGGGGTTTCTATCCGCACATTTCGTAGTGATAATGCCCTAGAGTATTTGTCTTCCCCATTTCAGTAGTTTATGAACTCTCATGGGATTATTCATCAAACATCTTGTCCGTACACATCCCAACAAAATGGGGTAGCTAAAAGAAAGTATAAACATCTTATTGAAACTGCTCGTACCCTACTCATACAATCTCATGTTCCGTTGCGTTTTTGGGGGATGCAGTTCTTACATCTTTCTATCTTATTAATCGTATGCCATCTTCAGCCATCCAGAATTAAGTTCCATTCTTTGTCATGTTTCCCCGCTTACCTTTGTTCTCTCCTTCACCCCGTCCCTTTGTTTTGTTCATAACCTTACTCCAGGAAAAGATAAGTTAGCTCCTCGTGCTCTTAAGTGCGTATTTTTGAGTTACTCGCGAACGCAAAAGGGATATCAATGCTATTCTCCTAACCTCCAGCGATTCCTTATGTTTGCTGATGTTACCTTCTTTGAAACCCAATCATACTTCACAGGTCCAAGCAATCACTTAGATATTTCTGAGGTGCTACCAGTTCCATCTTTTGGAGATTCAGTCACTATCTCCAATTCATCGTCCTCTATATTGCAGGTCCACCACCTACAACTCCAGTTGCAGCTCCACCACCTATAGCTCTAGTTCCACCACTTAGTCCAGTTCAACCTTCTACAGCTCCACCACTCTTGACTTATCATTGTCGTCCGCACCCAGCATCAGGCCCAGCTGATTCACGTCCTGCACCTGACCCTGCTAATACTGCGGACTTGTCTCCTCTTAGTCATCCGATTGCACTACAGAAAGGTATATGGTCTACACGTAATCCTAATCTCGATTATGTCGGTTTAAGTTACCATCGTCTGTCATCACCCCATTGTGCATTTGTATCCTCTTTATCCTCTGTTTCCATCCCTAGGTCTACAGGTGAAACACTGTCTCATCCAGGGTGGCGACATGCTATGATTGACGAGATGTCTGCTTTACATACGAGTGGTACTTGGGAGCTTGTTCCTCTTCCTTCGGGTAAATCGACTGTTGGTTGTCATTGGGTGTATGCAGTCAAAGTTGGTCCCCATGGCTAGGTTGATCGACTTAAGGCTCGCCTTGTTGCCAAAGGGTATACTCAGATAATTGGGCTCAATTATTGTAATACTTTCTCTCCCGTGGCTAAAATAGCATCAGTCCGCCTTTTTCTATCCATGGCTGCTGTTCACCATTGGCCTCTCTATCAGTTGGACATTAAGAATGCTTTTCTTCACGGTGACCTTGAGGATGAGGTTTATATGGAGCAACAACCTGGTTTTGTTGCTCAGAGGGAGTCTAGTGGCCTTGAATGTCGGTTGCGCCGGTCCCTCTTTGGTCTAAAGCAGTCTTCTCGAGCCTAGTTTGGTAAGTTCAGGACAGTTATTCAGGAGTTTGGCATGACGCGTAGTGAAGCTGATCACTCTGTGTTTTATCGGCACTCTGCTTCAAATCTTAGTATTTATCTGGTGGTTTATGTTGATGATATTGTTATTACCGGCAATGATCAGGATGGTATTACTAAGTTGAAGCAACATCTCTTTAAGCACTTTCAGACTAAGGATTTGGACAGATTAAAGTATTTTCTAGGTATTGAGGTTGCTCAGTCTAGCTCAGGTATTGTAATCTCACAACGGAGGTATGCCTTACACATTCTTGAGGAGACAGGAATGACAGGCTGTAGACCTGTTGACACTCCTATGGATCCGAATTCTAAGTAGGGCTCATTGTATTATAATTAAACAAAATATCAATAATAGATTTTTCTCCCGTGCATTCTCACACCTCAATTCCACAAGATTGCAAGAAGCGTTGAATAAAGGAAGAAGAATCAAACAGAAGAGAAATCACGCTTATGAAGCAAGAGCTTAGAAAAACTAATCACCAATGTTTATTTTCAGCATATTAGCCCTTTAAATAGGTCTTACAATGAGTAAATTGATGAGGTTAAGGAAAACTAGTCCTAATTAAGCTAGAATAAGAATAAGGTTAAGAAAAACCTATCCTAACTAAAATAGGAAAAAATATTCTAAGTAGGAATGGGATACCAACTAACAATCCTAATTTGACTAGAACTACAAAATAATCCTACCAAAACAAGAATCAAATTACTAGAAAACATGAAATAAGAAATCCTAATCTTTATAAGAAAGAAATCCTAATCTTGAATGGATTCTTGGACTTCTTAAATTCCTAGGATTCTTGGCCTTCTTGATCTTGCATCATTCTCCCCTGGTTGAAAAAGACTCGTCCTCGAGTCTAACAGCTTCCATAGATGGCGCAAGATTTGTTATAGTAAAGAATAGGGACCCAATGTTCACCAGGTTTCATATTACATTTTGCTAGCTTATCGTAGATCTTTTTCGCGTTGTAACTTCGAACTAAATTTTACTTTCTAAGTTCCAACTTTCTACCAAGCCTTCTCCATGTAATCTTTCTATAATAACACTCAAACTTCAACTTATGATATGAAGTTATTGGTATTAGAACTTCATGGTACTTAAACAACCTCATGCCTGGCTTTGAATTAAGCATGGAGATCAACGGTCTTCTTGGGAATGCAACAAATGCAACGCTTGTACACCAATAATCACGTTGACGATAGCCATATATATTTATGATGGGAAACATCTTGTTTCTCTAATAATATCTCAAACTCTCCATTATCCACTCATTTTTAGGCAATCCTTCCTCTTATTCATGTATATTTTTCTGGACTTTAGGATTAACGCAATATGCTGGCTCGTTTCGAATGATATAGTCGACAACCAAGTCAGTATTGTGTTGAGCATCTCTGAAAGGCGAAAAGTCAGTGACACACATGGTTGGATACTCCAATGGATTATCATAAAGTTTTGGTGGTAAATGTTCAACTTATGGATCCAATGCATGTTTCTTGTCTCTGTGATAATGGTCTTCATCAGTTTCGTCCTCTTGACTTCCTTGATTATCTAAATGTTTATCATATTGAACATGATACCTTGGTACTTTCATGCCTTGGTCAACTTCAACCTCTTCAGCCTGCCCAATGTATCTTGCTCTATGCGGTTAAATTGGTGGATATCGAAGTAGTAGACGTAGCGGTCGCACTGGTATGTTATGTCTTGGTGGTGGTGGAGGTTGTAGGCGTTGTCGTGGATTTGGTGACTGATTTTAAATCACCAAACGTTCAACAAATTCAGTCAGATTCTGCATTCATTTCTTGAAGCCATCTAGCTGTACTTTAATTTCTGCGTTGTCTCGTTCAAGGGCTGTAATCTTAATCTTTCAATCTGAAGTTGCTCATCAATTGATGAAGATTTCGAACATTCTGTTTTCTTGTCCGGTGACATGATGAACAAGATAGAATTCAAGAATTCGAACCTAGAACCTGTTCTCTGATACAAAATTAATGTACTTTCAAGGTTTTGTACCTCTCAAGCACAAAGAATAGAGAAACACAAAAGCACCTCGCTAAAGTTTTTCACAAAACTAGCAAAAGCATTCTTCAAACTCACGTCAGAAGAATGTAGGATAAAAAAAATCTTACTCGTTCCTCAACCCCTCAAGATTGCAAGAAGCGTTAACTAAAGAAAGAAGAATCAAACAAAAGAGAAATCACGTTTCTGAAGCAAGAGCTTAAAAAAACTAATCACCAATGTTTATTTTCAGCATATTGAGCCCTTTAAATAGGCCTTACAGTGAGTAAAATTGATGAGGTTAAGGAAAACTAATCCTAATTAAGCTAGAATAAGAATAAGGTTAAGAAAAACCTAGCCTAACTAAAATAGAAAAAAATATTCTAAGTAGGAATGAGATGCCAACTAACAATCCTAGTTTACTAGAACTATAAATATGATCCTACTAAAACAAGAATCATATTACTAGAAAACATGAATTAAGAAATCCTAATCTTTATATGAAAGAAATTCTAATCTTGAATGGATTCTTGAACTTCTTAAATTTCTTGGATTCTTGGCCTTCTTGATCATGCATATTCCAACTAACAATCCTAGTTTGACTAGAACCATAAATATAATCCTACTAAAACAAGAATCAAATTACTAGGAAATAAGAATTAAGAAATCCTAATCTTTATAGAAAAGAAATCCTAATCTTGAATGGATTCTTGACTTGTTGAATTTCATAGATTCTTGGCCTTCTTGATCTTGCATCAATATTTCATCAGATCCCATATTCTCACACCATAAATCTTGAAATTTGTTGTCTCTTGGTGTGAAGTGCTTTCTGATACTTATGTAGTTGCTGTTACTTAGAAATCATGAAAGATAAATTAACAATTAAATCATCTGAACGTCCAGTAAGTATCAACATCACTCATATACTATCAAAAGGAATGCTAATTTACGTTTCCGAATTTCACTGAATACAACTATCCAGTCGTATTGGTAGCCGTTAAGTAGTAGCAAATCTGAACAAAAGTGTATTCATAGCTCTTTTTGATTGCTTCTTTCTGTCTAATCTACTTCTCCTCCTAACGTTGGTGCTATTGAATGTGAGGTTACATAAACGTACAAGCAAATTAAACTAGTCACATAAGTTTGGTGAGCTGATTTTCTGCTTAAAATCAGCTGATCTGTTTATGTTGGTTTTGGTGTGATCTTAATAATCAAAGCTTATTTAAACATCAAAAGCAGCATAAACTAAAGAGTACTAATTAATAAACCATAGCTCCCAGGATTTTCTTCCTCTCTTATCTGCTACTGATGCTGGCAGTCACCCAAGGTATCCATGCAGTCTATTACATCGTTACCAATAAGGCTGCGAACAGCCTGGTATTGCCCGATTCGACTGCGGAATTGGCGTCCAATATTGCCCGATTCGGCGGCACAAATTTTATATGGAGGATCTTCCAACAGTTATTTCCTGCAGAACGTAAAAATGTTCTGAAAATGATTGATGAAGGAGAAGAATAAGCGTCTTAAATAAAAGGGATTTGCGAGATTGTGGGTTACTGTTAGGGCTGGGGGTACTTTTTAAAGTTTGCTAATGATCAGTGTTTTAAAAGGCGTTTTCGGGGCGATCCTTGGGGCGAGGCGCACAAAAAATGCCCCGAGGCAATAGTGGGGGACGACAGTCTCAAAAGGTGTATGCCCAGCAATTCGAGAGGTACGCCCGGGCATTGAGGTGCGTTTTTGTAGCGAGGCATAAGCCCAAGAGATTTCTTCAAATTAAAATAAAATTTACTGAATAAGTCCTTAATATAATACCCGAACTCTCAAAAGTCAGCTTGTAATTACTCAAAAGTTCTAAAAGGAACTGAAACATTAAATTAAAAGTCAAGACCTTTATTGCTAGAAGCCCTAATTTATAGTTTTTCCCAATTCTTTATCTTGTTCGCTGGTGTACTACTATCTCCCAAAAGCAACGAACAATCAATTTTTTTGCAAATACACGCTGAGGCATATGTAAAATGTCTCGCCTTGTTCCCACGCCTTTTAAGACACTGCTAATGGTAGGGGTAAATTTGGCCGGAGTATAACAGAGGTTAAATGTAGACAATATCCGAAAGTAGAGGGTAAATTGACCCTTTCCCTTTTTTATTTGTCTCAAAAATGAAATGGCTAAATGGCTTCCTGCAAGCAGGCTTACCTTGTCGCAGGGCTGAGTGGAGGTTTCTTGACATTTTTAATGTCAGTATTCATGCTACTTGCTTGGGTTTCCTATCGCCTGTCTATCAAGTCCTTTGGTCTCAGATCTTTCAGGTAAAGTTTATTAGTTATCTGCTTCTCTGCTAACTAACTTTTTGTTTGTACAACTCCAGAAAACTGTATGTTCTCTTGTTACTAGTTTATGCCTCTGAAGTTCCAGCCTGTTGCTCAGTAGTTAATAACATATTTTGCTGATCAAAAGCTGTTTTTGTCAGGTCAACTGCATGTTATGTGATCCCTCTCATTCCTTGCCTAATGTACACAGTGTATTTTGGTGGATTTCTTGTTGCTTTTGTTATCGAAAAAATGGGCATGACAGGCTCACTTCCCCCTCCTTTTGGTTAGTATCTCCGACCTTGTTTCTAGAGTAGATATTGTTTGTACATACATGTCAAACAATTGACAATTAATTGATAAATCGCTACTCCTTTTTAGAGGATTGCCAATGCCAACGAGGGTATCTATGATGATTTTAGCACATGCTTGCCTTACGTTTCACGTAGATGTATTGGCACACAGGTTAGAGTGCATAATAGTGGTCTTGATCAGTGTTTTAGAATTCTTGGGACGAGTCATGGGGTGAGCCCCCGGTGTAGTAAAAAGGCAACGGGGCCATT